CGTGCTTGACATGGCTTACACGGCCCCTAAAAAGGGGGTATCGTACCTCATCATATCTAAGTACTAAAGCCTTACCAAGGCAAACGAACACTTCCGTTCAAAATCTAAACTGTATTCGATTGTTTTAGTTGCGGTAGAGCCGCCAATATCTAATACCCTAGTTATCTCTAATTAATTTATCATAACCTTATAATTTTGGAATATGCATTACTTCTGGCAATCCTACCACGTGGTGGCTTCTTGTTACGATATAGCCACACCAATGTGTTATAATACTAACTGTGTAATACACGGCTATGTACGGTCGCACAATCTTGTGCGACCCGCTCTTTCTTACAAAGGTATGTGTACCCTGGTACACCTTCAATTTTGGTTATGAATCCAAAATTATTAGTAAAGGTAGTATATTATACGCTCTGTTGCGGTACGTGTCTTGTTATAATCTATGTTATACCAGACGCTTCCATCATTATTTATGTTGTGATTTTCAACTTAAATGCAGCCTTATCGAAGAGCGCTAGCGCACGCTCAGCTTTGCAAATGCTGCTCTGCACGATGGACGCTTCAAATTGACGAATGCTGCTAGTGTATTAACAGCAGTAAAGAATGTGTTTAAGGTATACTGACGGTCTTTCACGATTTTTACAATGGTTTACACAGCCTCAATAAATTCTATATCAGTGTTGTAGGGTGGTTTGTACATGACAATTTGTCTCGCTTCTCTGCCATCACAGCAATCACACATATTATTTCAGCTTTCGCTAAACCTGGTCCATCTATCTGGCCAGCATTTTGTCGTGCCCTCTGGAGTTTGGGAAAGTCGTGGGGCAATCGTACTTTGTGTTATCCAACATCATGCTCCCTTTTCATGATGCGTGTACAAATCCTCGAGATGCTTCATTTTATTGTATTTCAAATTGTTTATTGCTAAATATGCCACGGTAATTTTTGTGTTTATCTCCATTATTATTCTCAATGTGTCGCAAGAAAAGCTTCAGGAAATCCAACGCTGTGTCCCGCATGCATTTGATATTTTTCTTCCTTTCCTTGATCGTTTGTAGCCAAGATGCCGTTAATTGCGGCAAACAAATCATTGCGCAGAATTTTTAAGTGTAGACAAATCTTCTTTAACATAAAACACGTCATAGCGAGCAACTTCATCTAGCAGGTTCATCTATGACTTATATTGCCACGATGTACACTCGAATAGATATACGATCTGCGAAAGCAACAACCAATGCAGACCGCATGTCAAATTGTGATCATACCACATCATTCTGGGTGGTGGTGCAACAGCGAGTTTCTTGACGTCCCCGAAATTTGCCCGCTATAGTAAATTGTTACTCTTGCGATAAGGCAAAAATCACTAAAAAAAATATTATCCTTGATTTACACTTACACCGACCATTTTAAACGCTCTTATTATCTCAAATTTGCGTTTTAAAATTGGTTGATACAAAAGGGTAAAACTTGCACGGAGAAGGATTAGACTGGAAGAGTAACAACGCACCAAAAATAAATTTGTACGCTACTCCCTTTAGCGAAAAGGTAACCTCAAAATAACTTTGCTCTTTTTTCTCTGCTAAGTATGTTAAAAAGGTTAAGTATGTTGTAGCAATAGCTGACATTATTATGTCTCATAATAATTGTGCATATATTGCACGATGTGATGTTAACAGCTCGAGTCACACGGACATGTCCATTCTGGAATTCCGTTGTTCTCACCAACACCATCACTTTGTTATAGTTCTGACTTCTTCGCCATTGCACAAAAGTGTAAGTGCAACTATACGATACATACTCGTCATATCTTGCCACGCTGGGTCTTGAAGCAAAGCGATGCTCGTTGAGTTTTCAATATTGTGCGATGTCCACATCATCACCTGCACCTCATAGTGGCTGATCTTATGTCCTTTATTCGCATCAAGGTTTAATTTCCCAGTGGGTCTTGATGACTCAACAAGCTCATGCAGACGGCGCAATCCTTGCGGCCAACGAGCTTAAACGAAATGTTGGATTTACAGACCATAAATTCACCTGATGAAGAATTTGCTTAGAACGATTTCTAATACTAACAAACCTCACAGTATATACAGTGTACCGCTTCGGTGTTTCCACCCTCACCAAGAGATATACGGCAAAGCGTTTAACTAGAAAAAAACAATTTTTCTGAGCTCCTTCATTCCGCTGTATGATTTGTGCACTCTTTCTCTTTCCTCAAGGTAGGTGATTTCACTACGCCATGCCAAAGACCTTGCAACGGCGTCTCCCTCGTTACCAATAAACTGGATGGGGCTCAGCAAGTCGAGCTTTCCTGGCCGCGAGCTCGAGAGTCACAATGACTATTGCAAAACAGTAATGTCGTTACGTCGTGAAGATGTATCTGATTTCAAAGAGGCCCCTCTTTGCGCTTGGTTGATCGCTTTCACTTCAAACGAGCGCTCAAAATTCGCTTTGCAGGCACGTTCAGAGACATTGGTCGCCACTTTTATACGATATTTCAGCGTTAGATACAGCAGCGGTCGGATAGATCCGTACTTCCCATGAGACCATACCTATAGCACTTAATGTTTACGTGTACTAGTTTAGCCAACAATCAATAGCGCTCAAAGAGACATATGCTTTTTTGCCGTGGCAGTCACCCTAGTGGGTGTCATGCGTCTCGTAAAGAATACTTGAGGCCCTCAACTTGAGGCAACACCACAAGCCAGATCAGTGCTACAGATACTGCAAGTCACATAAAATAAATGATGTAAACATGCCACCAATAAAGCGTCATCGGAGCTCAACAGCTACATACTTGTTAAAGCTTTGACGCCGTATGTTTCGCGCCTTTGATTGGTGTTTGCAGCGACACAAATACGCATCCGCCACCACACTAAGCCAATCCGGTTTACACCTTACCTAAAAATATATTCAGTAACGAAGTCAAGCCAATTTGTCACATTTTTGTGAGAGATGTGGTGATGACGTCGCTTGCGTCGCATGATCTGTATAGATCACAAATGACGTAAAGTCAACCCCGTTCACCCAAGATTTGGCAAAAGCATACTTATTGCAAGTAGCTCAGGGTCATTAACAGATATTTTTCTTCTTCAACAGATTTCAGCTGGTGGGACCTCAAAGCGATCATGCGTTCATGTCGGCCTGAATCAGCTTGATATAAAGTACTGCTTGTGGTAAAAGAGGAAGTGTCACTGACGACATATATAGTGAATCTGTATTCGTATGATGCGGAATCGGGAAACGTATGCTTTCTTACAGTGATGAAGGTTATCACTTCTGGTGCTCCCCGACACCATCTGCATCCTTTCAATAGAGATTGGTGAGAAATAGTTCCATTCCAGCGAATCTTCACCGTATTTGTGCAAGTAGCAGGCTAGGCCATACCACTACTATAAGTCCCTTCGGATCCGAAGCATTGGCCAATCTATATAGCCTTGATCGTTGCACGATGTGCTCGCAGGCCGTAGTATCAAATAAACTAACACAGAAAAGGAATGTATTCGGCGCCAAAGATACACACGTGGAATGTACACACGTGTACATTCCACGTGTACATTGGTCAGCGGCTTATTTATGCTCATATACTTTAAACCGCTCGCAATTGCTGAATATGGCTCTCTGCCTATGACTCTCCTTTCTCTGCGAGACTATGTCTATATTTCGCTCAAAAAGATTTGTTTATAGACACGATATGGCCTTGTTTGCTGCGTCACTAGAGAATTAAACGTCGCTGGTGCATTATACAAACCTTGTGGCAGAGCCTATTACTCATTGTGCATTCCGCTTGGAAAACTCACCAAATAAGAGGGATGTGTTGTCTTTGATCACAAGTTCAAAATTATACTATTCACGTTATGGTTATTGATTGCCGACCATGTGTTCTGCAGCGCATCCCTTTCAGAAACTGGAGTTAAAATCAGGTCATTATTTGGAAGCGAAATTCATTACTCGCCACTGGCCTTTCTGACGCAAGAAACTCGCGCCAAGCGTAAGGCTTCATTACACCCGCTTCGTGCTTCGCACGGATAAAGCGTCAATGACTTGAAATATCTGCTTCACAAGAGTCATTGCCGTGTGGCGCAGTGTCGGTTTTATAGCTTCAAGTCACTTTCATGACGTGCTCCCTTATGCAAGAATCATACACGTGGTGGGATTTCTGTCCCGGCATCCTCGTAATCCACTATCATTTGCTTAAAAGGTTTAATTGCAAATAGCTGTCCCGATCCTCGCACTCGGTGCTTATTTTCTTCATGAGTGTTTGAAATGACGGCTTCACCCATGGCCCAGCATCTGTCATGATGGGTTCCGCTCCTCTGTTGGTGATACCGATTGTATCAACAATTTGGTAAATCCACCGTCTTGCAATTTTCCCTCGGAAAATTCCTTCCATTTCTCAATGTGCTTTTAGCTGAGGTGGTAAGGGAAGACCTATTGAAGGCCTTCTTTAAAAATTGCAATGAAACCAGTTAATTTTAAGAAACGTCCGTGTGCCTGGAGTACGACATTTCCCGCGAAGGTTTTGTTGGACGGCCTTGCATGGGAGTGCGACCTTTCATACCGCTCACCCGACCGCGAAGGGGGCAGGTAGTTTTTAAATCGACCCATGGAACATCTACGGATACCAGCAGGCTGCTAATCAACGATATCTCTCAGTTTTTCATAGCATTTCTGGGGTCAATCGCCTCTGGCGCGCTCATATAGCACCCACTTCTGGTAACCGCCCTGCTCCCGCTGTAATGAAATTGTACTTCGCAATTAATTCACCGCTTCGTTAAAACATGGTATGGTGGACGCAAAAAAGCTTCGTGTCTGTTTGGGGCCTGTTATAATGATGGTGACTGTTACCGCCTCCGGTACACAGATTGTAACCATTGTGTCAATCAAAGTTTCAGCTCATGGGGTATACTCCGCTAGGTCCCACCTTCCTTGATAGTTGGACAGAAAATACAAAGGTGCAAGCACTTGTGATGTATGTCGCTCCAAATATCTCATTGTTGGTTAAACCTCTTTCACGACGATACTTCATATTTGTACCCTATTTGCGCGCGGCCACCTTGCAAGCGCGACGCGCTGTTGGTTCATCTAAAGCATGGATAAAACCATGGTCTTCACCCCTTCCCCCATTCATAAAAAATATATTCTTTATCTTCTGCTGGGTCGAGCAGTACTCGACAGAAGCTTTCAATGCGTGTCAAATTGTCCTATGACAGGTACTCAAACATCTAGTATTGTATCCTCGTAAATATCTTCCTTTTACGAATCGGTGGTGGGGTTGACTACCAATGCTCTCTAGTTACCATACACCTTGCACAGAGTGAGCTTCAACTGAGAGGGTTCGCATTGAACAGCGCAGTGAGATTGGGTTTGTATGCTTTAGACAGTAACGAGACCAAACGCCTCTACCGTGACTCACTGCCTAGATTGATCTGCTATTTACACACATTGTTCCTTATCAAATTTATTGTCTGACGTACGGCTAAGCAGCTCACGTAAAATGTGGGTATCGCCCTCACGAAGCGTGGCAACCACGCACCGAATATTGGTTCGTATCAGGTGCTCCGCATACCTTACCGACATCCTCTTGATTAAAAATCAATCGTGAGTCTCTAAAACTTGCTACTGGTACACCCTGAGCCAGTTTTGTAAGAGACAATATAGTATGATATGGAATGGGATTACCATTGGTGCAAAGGCAAAGAAATTGAGTATAGCTAGCTTAGACCTCTAAGAGATCACTCGTTTATATGGACAGGGGAAGTTCTTCTTACTCGCGACTCTCCGCTCGGCACCTAGGTGATGCGCAGCGCATGAATTCAAGCGGACTCTGAGAATCACAGCTTTTTTGTGCGATTTCGTTTCACCAGAAAATTGTCGTCAGGATGTAAACATACAGGCGATATCGCAAAGTGACTAATCTGGACAACTAGCTGCAAGGTTCTCTGGCAAATGAATGACTCTTCAGTTAATCCATGCTAATAGCAATAACACTAACGTGTATGCATGAGAATGAGAACTACGTGTCTACTAGTTCTGCATCGTCAAAGACGCTTTCGTCAAGTCTTAAATGTCATACGATGCAACACATGACGAGCTATATACAACCAACATGTCGCTTCAACTTACCGGTGTGATACCGGTCAAATCAGGTCATAGAAAAGATACCGCAGTCTAGACAGCCGCAGTAAAAGGAGAGTTCTGCACTCTGGTGAGAGACCGCCTGAATTATGGGCTGCTGTTTGTCCCACGAGGAAGACCGTTTTGACGGCAGTACTGAAGCGTTGCTGCCTAAGGGAAGGAATGGTGTGAAACGAGTGTACGTATTAGCGAGTGAATTATCTCTTTCAATCAAAGCATTTCGTGACTTCTTACTATACATTTGTAGAGAAAAAGCGCTCAATGGTGACGCCAGTCATAAAGATGTTGCTAATGGTACCCACAAATCACCTTCGGCTGTTGTTGCTGCTACTGATAACGTTCCAGCCAAGCCACAACCTTGTAAAAAACCAGAGAAGTGCGAGCTTGATGACACGCCGCCGTCGCCCCTTGCTACACCAGTGATTAATGCATCGTCGCCCACGAAATCAGCGCCTTCACAACAACCGGTAAGTGTATCATGTTCAAGTTCATCGCCTACTTCGGATCTAGCAACAGTATTGCCGCCCAAGCCAGCGGATGAAGATCCAATCTCACCCAAGCCAGTGGATGAAGAGCCTTCGCCACCACCGGTACCAACACAGTCATTAATGCCATCGAAAAAAGCGTCTTCAAAGACTTCACAACTTACTCCTACGGAAACAGAAGATAATATCGTGGTGCCAGCATTTACGCCTATGTGTGTCGAAGCTATGGACACTCACAATGACGATGACAATAATGATGATCAAGAGAACGAAAGAGATGAAAACAGAGGTGAAAATGATGACGCGACGGGTCAATCGAAGGAGTCGAAGCCGAAGAAGATCACGCCTACGAAAAAATCGAAAAAGAAACGAAAAGTACGTTCTTTCGTCATATTTTCTCTCCTTCCTATCACTAACGTATGTATCGTGTTGTAGAAAGGAAAGAGATAAATGCCGTGCTTATGGTGGCAACAGGGAGATCATCGAACGTCCGAAAGTCATGTAAGAAGGCACTACCTCTTTTCTCATTGATTTAGCATCATTAAGGAGAAAGTTTAGCCGAGAGACACACGTAAACGCTTTTTGCGCTTCTGCAGATAAATTCCATCTTGTGCATGCGTTTCACCAAAGTCTCTACTCTCATTTTCTGCGTGTTGTCGCTCAGCTACTTGAAGCAAATCGCTTGCAATCTCCCCTAGCTCTTTGTTGCTACGTTGTAAAGTCTCTATCTCTTGGTGCAATGTTGTAATTTCTTCGCTTTGAGCGTGGATTTGACTTCGAAGTTGAGCATCTGCCTTCTGTATTTGCTCCGTCTTGCTTAGAAGAACTGCTTTTTCAGTCTCAAGTTGTGTAATTTTACACTCGAGTGATTGTATTCTTTCTTGAGACGCAAGTTCTTGCTGCTTGCTCTCATGCAAAGTCTTAAGTTCTAGTTGTTTCAACTGCAATTGGTCTTGTGCCACTTTTTCATTTCTCTGCGCTATCACCAGCTCTTCACGAAGATTTTTCATTTCCAGTTCATGTTGATCAATGAGCTTACGCTGTTCTTGCTCTACTGTTGCTGCGCGAAGTTGATCTTTACTGGCAAATCGATACTGCAAGTGTGCGACAGATTGTGCCAAGACCGTTTCTGTCTTTTGGTATTGAGCGACTTGCACGCTTAGCTTTTCAACTCGCTCTTGTGCTAAAGTTAAAGTTTGTTGTTGCCTTGTAAAAGCTTCCTTTAATTTCTGTCGTGACCCTTTTTCCATTTCTATAGTTGCCAGCAATTTCTCTAGCTGCACATCTTCACACATACCAAGCAGCGTCTTCTTATGTTCAAGTAACACAGCATCTAATTGCATCTGCAAAGCTTCGCAACGTCTCATCGCTTTATCTCGCTCGCGCTCTCTGTCAGTCACTTGATATCGCTGTTCCACAAGCTCCTTTTTTAATTGAAGCACCTCAGCGTCTGCTATTAGTTTCGTATCATGCTTTGCTTGTGCTATCTTAACTTTCAACTGCGCTGCTGAAAATTGAACAGAATATTCGTCTGAGTTGTCCTCATGAGCTGATTTGGCACCATTTGAGCTCATTTTAGACAACTCGCCATGCTCCAATTGTTGCTTCGAGGCTTCCAGAATTGCATCCTTTTGAGGCAAAGCAGTTTGTCTCGCATCATCCTCACACTGACTTCCATTTTTCGACTCATCCAGCAACGAATGAGACTCTGATGTACTTAATTCCGTCACATGTTTCGCCATTGAAGTCTAGATGGGATTTTGTCTAATGTGTAAGGTTACACAAAATATCTGTTATTGAGTAAATTGGTAATGTATATCAAAATTTGAGAAAGTAAACAGGTTTGCAATTCTCGATTCTCTCATCCTAGTGAGCACAGAATCATGTGCTTGACTAATTGTACGAAGATTTAGTCTGCTTTCGATTCGAGCAGAGGTAGATGCATATTTATTATTGCAAAATGAAGATTAAGTTATGATTCAATTGACGTCCTTAATTCCTTTTCCCTCTTAAATGCACTGTGGCTGGTCCATCTGTCCGGCTGTCACCCACACGTTGCTTGTATTCGTCTAGGTAAAACTTTCGGCCCAGTATTTTAGTATCTATGCAAGCTGTCCAAAAACAAGCAGACTGTCCTTGCTTTTTGGCAGTGACCATATATTTATGCACGAACAAGTGCACAGGGGTTGCGTTCGTGTCTTCTTACGGCAAACGAAACTTGGAGCCGCTATCATTACTAGGTCGCTAGTGAGCTTTTCTATCTTGTACGTGCACATCGATAGATTTAATGCTAGCCAGACTTAGTCATACGATTTGCTATATGTGATAATCAACACTCTTATCTTCTGTAGCCCAAATTTATCGCTGACCCCCTCCGTTTCGAAGCTTTATCTTCTTCACTGATACAAAAACTTGGTAATTCATAGTTGCACCAAGTGCAGTAAAGATCAAAAGCAGGTGACCGTATTGAAATATATCCAAATAGCAAGTACACAACATTCACAGCTCTTGCCTCGTTACAAGTAACGACTTAAATATGCACTTCTTGTGTGAGCGCTGATACAACGTACCGTGTGGGTGAAGACGAACCGCACCAGCCTGAAGGAACCGGATTTGGTACCATTACGACGATACTATCAACGCGTCACACCGAGCCTGAAGGATTGTAAGTATTATCAACCAAAAGTCACGGACAAGTAGGAATCTATGGAATCGATATCCCATTGGAACTGCTTCGCCACGAATCTAGTTTAGACATGCTATTGCGTCTGCGGCGGAATAAAGGGTCGCTGTGTGAATGAAAGTTGCCAGTACGCTTTTTGAAGCAAGCCAATTTTTTACAGGCTCACAATGCCTGATGGGTCAAAGCTAGCAACCATTAAGTCTGTGCTATGGTTCCATCATAATGGGCTAGAATCCAGTTAGCTTACCCTACTTATCAGGTTTGACTCTTCATATCTCTTAACCAAAAAACGAATGTGTGTGTGGTACTGTGGCATATGTTATGTAACAAGGTAGGCACTGTACGATTGAGCTCATACATCTACCCGGTGGCGTGGGTCAGGTGGTCAATGCTTTTGGGCCTCACGGTGTGTGATGCGGGTTCGAGCCCCTCAGCGGACAAAATCGTATTCGAACCAGACATAGCAAGAAATGTCGGCTGCATGCTAAATGTTACCGGCAACAGCCAAAAATGGACTTCGGGGTGGCGACTCATACAAGAAAAATCAAGAGAAAATACCCCGGCAGAATGTATTAGGGTAATATCTTAGTCAGGGCCGAGTAAGTATAGCTGTGTAATAAGGTAATACATAGCAACTTTCAACTGAGCTCATACATCTTACACTTCAGTGCAATCAAGCAAAATTCACAATACATTTTTGTGTAAATGTAAGTATTCAGAGTACCGATGTATCGGTACCTAAATAGACAATGGAATTGAGTCAATTAACCACCCAGATTAGCCAAAGCGCGATACTAGAGTAGACAGGCCAAAGCACCAGCTTTAAAAATGCTGGTCTACTTACATGATAGATGACTTCACGTGAGACAATGAAGGAGACTGGGATCTTCCTTCATGTCCACATAATCGTTTGAAGCTGTGGTAGCGCGCTAGAGTTTACTCAGCGTTTCATGGTATGCACGAGGCGCTGTCCTAAAAGCTAATGCGCGATAGCAAACCCTTTCAGCAAAGTTTGCATCTAAACGCCTTTGCCACGATGGGCTGCAGCGGCGTACGACCATTCGAGCGGCTGTACCAGCGTGTAAGATGTCGCCTGCGACACACTTTCGCCGCCCCGGACAGGACAAGTCGTGCTTAGCTAGTACATGATGGACCGTGTAGCGGTATACTTCGACCACGGATACAAGCCCATATGGCCATAATGGACGTGGTCCACACGGAGAAGTTATTCTTCTTCATGGAAGTGGTAAAAAAGCGCTTCATTTCGCTGCCCAACCAATCTGATCAGTTCAGGAAGCTTCAGAGCAAACGCCATATCACTAAAGAGATGATGCAGCTGCATGCCGAGCCTCGTAGAGCGCTCTCGAGGCAAGAGACACTTTTGTGGTAATTATAATATTTTTAGCATTTTTTATATCTGGATATGTATACACTGGTATAAAAGTAGCAGATTGATGATGACTCTCACGATCTCTGAGGATTACCACACGAGAGGTTCGCTGGATTGATGCTACCTGATCTTCAGATAGTGTTAGCCGATTAAGATCAGCAAGCATACGGATTAATTCAACAAGACAAAGATTCCACCATATTGAACGACCCCACAAATTGCGCTGCGGTTGGAGCTATCGACCTTGACTCGACACTCAAGTTTTGGCCTCCTCACGGTCCCGATATTAGTTGTTTAGTATGGGTCTTTTTGATGCGAAACAAATCCAACGGCAGCAGTGCTGTCATTGTAATGCTGCTGAGTTGGTAACGCTACGGCGATGGGCAATGAGAGTTTCCAGTCTAGACAAACGAGACATCTTTTTTCTATGCGCACAAATGTGTTGTGCATATGATGTGGTGGTGAGAGCATCTACAATCTATCATACATGTTAAGGTCAAAGCTTGTCATGTGGAACAATTCTCATTGAGTATCTCATGCCCTGGTTATACTGTCCTGGTTAGATACAAATTACGTATCGTTATGCATTACTTCGTAATCTAGCTCAAGTTTATTGAGATCATGACTCTAGTAATGTTGCAATACATTGCGTGAGACCCACAGCCCATGTTTCCCAACACCTACTTCCTTACGAAGCACATTTCCTAAACCAAACCTAGTATAATCAGCAAAGTACGGCACAATTGTACCTTACAGGATTGCCTCAAGCCCGAGAGACAACAGCCGAATGGGTACGTTTACATGGATATGTACTCTTGTTTATTGCTTCTACGTGAGATTTGAAACAAAAAATACAATATTTTTATTATCTGTGCGAGATTTGGTGGTGACGTCGCTGTGAGCACCGGCCCATGCTTTGTACCTATTGCATATTATTAAGATGTACCATGAATTGACAAGAGCATAATGCAAAGCGTGTCGAGAACTAGGTACTTATTTTATATGGCTTTAGACTGACGATATTCAAACGCAATGACGCGCTTATGCTCATTTAAATCAGCTTGGAGTGAAGCACGGCCAATGGTTCAGATCGAAGCATCACAAACGACGTGTATCTAAAATCAGGGCAGGCGTGAGGCAGCAACCTTTTTTAAAAAAATGAAGAAAGAAGGTAAAAGTCTGTTATGTAGCGAAAAGGAGCACTGGAAATAAGCAAGTAGTTAATCAGGCCAAACCACTTTCATAAATGTCAGTGAGGTAGGGGCAGTGGTCAATCCGTACCGAATTTGGTTTTCGGGGGGCTTTAAACATATTGGTTTCCTAATGATGCATACGGAATGGAGTTTCATCAGCGTCGCAGACACATGATGCATAAGGAAATACACTCAAACACAGCTTCCAAGTGCTCGATTGTACGAAATCAATTCTTGTGTTTTGTACGACTCCAAACTTATATAATGACAGGATTTTAAAGTAGTTCACGATACGGCATATACAGCTGCCGGCTAAATGTTTCTGGTGTACTACACAGTTTGCGAGCTGATAAGTCACCTCCCCGGAGCAAATTTTCTGTTGTGCTGGGATAAGACTAATTCTTAGCAATAGTTGGTTATATCCATCGACAGAGATAATAATGATGTGGAGAATGCACTCAAACATGGTGTTCTGCTCGAAGTAATTTTTTTTGCTCTCACTAAGCTGTACTTGTGTTAGCGAGAAAGAAAGTCTTCATGACATCGTAGTATTATCTGGGTAAGGTTGTATCACTTAAAAAATATTGAGGCCTTGCGAGGGCTTCTACCTGAGGTGATGAAGGATTCAGTGCGTAGTAACGCATGATCTGTATGGATCACAAACGGCTTGGAGCCGAGCAGGTGGACCCTGACTTGACAAGTGCATACTTCATCGCAAGTAGCTCCTTGTCATGAACTGGGTAGTTCTTCTCTGCGGCTTTGAGATGTCGAGACTCGAACACGATCAACCGATCTCGCCCCTCGGCGTCTGCTTGCAGCAATGCACAGCCGATGACAATATTCTTTAAGACAGTCTTGGTCGCTCAATTTACGAATAAATACATTGTCTCGCCACGAATTTTGTAAAGCATCGAAGTGTTGCACAGTGAACACATCACTCGTTGTAGCTGGCTTAGTAGCACCTGCACACTGTGAATGGAAGGAACACTTTGAGTGTTACGGGCTCCCTGCAAATCACTGGGACTTGCGTTACCACCAATTTACTCTGGCAATGGAAATGAAAGGAAGTAGACCGCATACCAGGTGCACTTGAAGCATGTGTCAACTGTTTGAAGTCGGAAGATCAACCAAGCTCCTGCGAATATTGACAAGTTAGTACTATGTGCCGACAAAATAAACCGCTTTCAGGGGACGAGATTTGAAGAAGCTCCATTAGTTCCTGAATGCATGAACAGTGCACCAATCCCAGAATGCCTACAAAGGAGTAAACTAGCAGTGCTTGCCTGATTTTGCCGGACAGAAGAATCGTGTAGCACTCTGGATTGAACCATCGGCTTCGCGGTTTCAGTACGACTAGGATAAAAGATCGCGCTCAAGCTCAGGTCAGGAAGCTAAGTGTCGCCGAGAGGAATCATTTTGGCAACGACACGATATTTCTCATGATCATTTCCAGCCACTCATATAATATTTGTGGTTCGAGATGACTAATCGTCCCGGCGACCATCTTCAAATCACACATATCACGAAGACGAATTGTCAGCTTTCTCTCTTTGCGAAACTTTAAAACGGCGCTGAATATAATCCGGGTAAGCCTAATGTGCTTGTCGATGCTGTATCACGTTGACGCGAATATGAGATAGCTCATATCAGTCAGGTCACAATGGCTCACTCTGTAATCATCAGAAGGCAAAAAAGATACTAAATCAAAGCCTTGGTGGTGATTTTCACCGCAAATAAAGATGCTAACGTCGAGTGGATCTGCCATCAATAGAGATTTGCAGCCCCGCTGATTCCAATGGGCTGGTGATCTGCTTCACATACGTTTGCCTCGTGTAGCCGAAACGAAAAACGAAATAATGGAATATTTTGTACTGTCAGAAATGCATGATGCTCATTTTGGTTGGCTTCTTAGCCAAGCGACTTATCTCATTTGGCTTCTCAGGTTTCGTGGTGGGCACATATGACTAAGTGGATATCCTTGTTCGTACAGACTTGTGAGGCCTACTAGAAATTTAGGCCAGTAGGTCACGCTCGTGGAAACTGTTCATTGAAAAGACTATCAAACATCTGTGAGTTTTGAACTCATTTTTTGTCAGCCATTTAGAAGTTGGTATATCGTCTATTCTATTGGACGGATGCAAAGTGATTCTCAAGAAAGCAGCGAGAGAAGGAGGTGTGCTGCAAGCAGCATCGCTGAAAAATATCCTTTTTGGACTTGGAAGATGCCATTCGTCTAAGGCATGAGCTTGAAGTCTATGCTTTGGTGCACTTCTTAAAAAATATACTTTCGTTGTGTTTGAGGAGATCTTTGTCATGACGGTCTCAAAAGCTGAAATTTATACACAAGAGTGCACTTGGTGTTGTCATCAATACTAACACAAATTCTGTAGTTGGCTTGACAGGATTTAGAGAATGCCATTCTTTCGGACCGACTAATACTCAAGATTTAAGCCAAGAGTATGTAGCGTGGCTCCACTTCATGCCCGTTTTCGTCGATCACGCAGGTCACAACGTGTTAGACGGCCGCACTTTTATATAAGAATTGGATTGACGCCAGTACTTTATTATCGACCGGCTTGCATTATACTCCCCGAGTAGTAGAGTTGCCAGAGGTGTTTATGACTTGATCTGTAACCTATGTCATTATTATTCTATTGCCGGCGCGCGCAGTTTTACTGTCAACTTTCGGTGAGGTATCTTTTCTCTGCTTCGACTTATCCGTCATCGTGACACCTCCCACGACGCACGACTCTTCACCTTTCCCCAGATGCTTTAAGTTTGAATATACGTGAGTAGAATAATCGCGTTGCAGTCGTTCTTGCTCTTTCGGGGTCCAGAGGATCGTTTGGATTGAAGTAGCTGCTTATTCTAGCGCGCATACTCGAGCAGTGCGGCATAATTTTTGCTGATAAGTAGATCATTTGTTTTATTCTTTCGAACAACTCCGTTTAAAGCTGAATGACACAATCACAAGAGTCAAATATGACTCTAGAGGCTGTATATGTTATTAAAGCATCATTCGCGTTTTGGCGACACTCATATCTGTCATGCTTCTTGTCTTTTACAATTTCTTACCATAGAATTTTGATTCCAAATGTAAAAACTTCAACGAACTTGTCTTATTCAACAATATCAGTATCTACATTGGCTACCTCACACCTTCGCCAGCAGCCAGCAGCTTAGATCCAATCATATGTGATCGCATTTTTACGTCAGGTGTCGCGATTAATATTTTTGGTCGAAAATAGTAATCGTCTATAATTGTGTATGTCACATACTACATAAGAGTTACATTTCCAACTTGGCTGGCTGAAAACCTTAGCATTTCGGCATTGACATGGCTCCTTTAAAGAAGCGAGGAAGGAAACAGGACGATAGCGAAGACAAGGACGATAAGAAAAATGAGTCAGAACTTCAATTGCGTAATCCGTCGCATATTAAAAACAAAATGAAGCGTCAACTTGTCATGCAAAAGTTTCGCAAGGAAAAAAAGGAGGCGAGGAAAGCGGCACAACTAAAGCGCCGACGTGAGGCAGAAGAATTAGGTGAAGCAGCACCACCAAAGTTAGAACCACGAACTATCGATAATACTCGTGAAAAAGAGGTGACAATGGTGAGTAATGAAGGTGATGAAGAGATCGAAGGTGACGAACGCGACGACGAATTTGCGAGCATTTTTGGCAATGAAGAAACACCAAAGCTCATGATTACCACACGACCGTTTCCATCGGGTGATATCTATCGTTTTATTAAAGATCTGATGGATTTATTCCCAAATTCATTTTACTACAAGCGTGGAACGTTTGATATTAAAGAAATTGTGCAATTTGCCAGCAACAAAAAATTCACACATCTCATTGTGCTTTCGGAGAAGAGTAAGATTTGTAATGGGTACGTAGTCGACGATTGATACCATTTGATTGTATTGGATTGACTATTTTTTTGTTTCTTATTGTAGAATGCTTGTGAGCCGTCTACCTGAAGGTCCAACAGCGTTTTTTAAAGTGTCGAATGTGAAGCTGACGTCGACAATTAAGGAGCGTGGTCGTCGTACAAACCATCAGCCAGAACTTATTCTGAACAATTTTTCAACACGTCTAGGTCACCGTGTAGGCCGCTTTCTAGGCTCATTATTTGAGCACCAACCTGAATTTGAAGGCCACCAGGTTGTGACATTTCACAACCAGCGCGACTTTATCTTTGTACGACACCATCGCTACACTTTTGAGAATGAAAAAAAAGCACGTTTACAGGAGATCGGTCCACGATTTACGATGAAGTTGCGATGGCTGCAACAAGGCACTTTCGACACTAAATTTGGCGAGTATGAATGGAAACATAAGCAGCACCAACTCGATACGTCACGTAGGAAATTCCATCTTTAAACAGCATGCAATCAATACTACTTTCAATAGAGTACAATCAATAATTAAATGTTGTCGCTATGTCTGAATGAGCAATACAAGACAATGAAACTTTATAGCAAATTAAAATATATTCTAGAATGCCATATGCATTGCAAATTGTCGCAACGACCATCAAGTGACTCGATCTTGCTCAGTACATGCGTCTTAGTCACAACTTCAGCTCCATCACGCAACTGATTGCTCGTTTTACTCTTGAGTAGCTTCCATCAGATATGCGATCAAGTCGCGACGCTCTTGTGGCTTCTTTAAGCCAGCAAACACCATCTTCGTACCCTTAATGTACTTCTTCGGGGCTAAAAGATACTCAAACAACGTCTCATCCGTCCAAACAACACCCGAATTCTTATTAGCAGCCGAATACGAATAACCTTCAGCTTGACCAGACTGACGGTTGATCATACCCGAAAGATTCGGTCCCTGCTTATGAGCACCTCCTGCATTAACAGTGTGACACTGTGCGCATTTCGTCTTGAAGATCTTTGCGCCCTTTGCAGCGTCTCCAGTTCCACCGGCAACGTTAGTCATTATTTCAAAAGAGGGAGTTTCACTTGGTTCTGGTGGTGCGCTGGACACGTTTTATATTATGAGCTCATCGAGTATCAATCATTCCGAAAAACCTTGGGTGTAAAGGTTTTTTTGAAATATGTGAGGACAGCGGACGATAGAATTTTAAGCCAATCAACGACGATTAGATTTTAAAAAATCTGTTGGTGGAAAACCTGTCGCATGCACGATTTATTTAGACTTTGAGAGGATAACATTCATTGGAAAGGATATGTGATGGTGGAATTACGGGGTAAGTAATGTATCGATCATTATACATTTGATGCAAGTGTAATAATTACAATAATTGTACAATTGTACGAAATTTGTGTTACATGTGAGTACTGGAATTACGGTATCTATGAAGTTTGAGAGACTTAAAAAAAAAGTACATCATTAAATAAAGATATTTATGATGCGAGAGTGTAAAATAGTTGATATTAATCCAGTAAAGTTAGTTCTACGTACTTTTAAAATCGCAGAGAAAACTCAAGTAATCGATACCTTAAAAAGTTTTCGGTATTGCTCCCAGCAGGAGCACTCAAACCCAATCTCTGTGCGCTTGTAAACGCGGAATCCGATAATTTAAACTTTCTCTGTGTAACATGCTACGCATCCTTGCTACACTTAGCAGCACTTAAAGTTAAATCACGATCGAGTTCTAAAAAAATGTGTCGTCGGTGATAATGAGTCGGTAAATGTGTGTCATTGGACCAGATAGACCGGTCTAGTATGCTTTTCACTATATGAAATTGTGAAATTGGCGGACAAAGAAATAAACGTGATAATTGTTTGCCTAGAAATGTTTTCCAAATATGTGATCGCGTTGATAAGGCACATTCATGAGCATCCCAACCCGGGTATCAGCTCAGAAAGTAATGGTTTCTTCAGTGAGACCGCTGATGTTGAGCGCCCAGGCCTTTGAGAGCCGAAACGGTGAGATACTATGAGAAGTTGAATTCGTTATGTCATCGGCCTTGCTCTTAACAAAGCCACAGCAAATCGCGCTTGTAAGCTCGAATCTAGGAAGTCGTGCACAATACTGGGCATTAACTTGCAATGCCTTTGAAAAAAGGCGTTTCCAAAAGGGGTAAATTTATTAATATAGATGGTGTGGGTGCTTGTACCCGCCTATCTGGGCGTTTAGGGTGCCCTCAAACTCTTTTTTACTATTCATAGGATCAAGAGCTGGCGGACCATGTTTCTAGGAGCTGCCGTATTGGCATCTGACCCTCTCCCGAATATGTTAACGACTAATATTTCATCGAGGTTCTCCAGATGGTTGCGACCGGCAATGATTTTTTCGACTTCTACCCCTTCTCTATTGAATACGCCAGGGTGGCGTATTCAAGGCGGTGCACAATTTCCGTGTCTGAGGTCAAAACGGAGTACAAGTAGTATAAGCGCATCAGTCTTACCAAAAGTTATGGATCTCATGTATGCTGATAAAAAAGATATAGAGATTTCAGCTCCTGAACGGCGCTGAAGTACTCGCAGGTGATTTATAAAGGGTATGACAAAAAAGACTGTGGTCCTTGGATTATACGCACCAAGGGTCACTTCCGCTCAAGGCGAACTAAAAATTGCTCAAGGAGAATATTTCGGGTATCGAAAGGCGCAGTGAGGCCAATCAAGGTCGTGGTCAAAGTAACCCATCCCTCAACGTACTGCAATAGCCTCTAAGCAATGTATTCAAGTGATAGCGATTGTATTAGGAGGTGTTTCGAGCAGATCTCGACAGATAAAGCGAGAATGAGTCGATATCTTTTGATGAGATAACAGGGATCAATTGTACATGGCGGTTTCCCGAGTGCACTGCTGTGAAACGAGTAAATTTGATGAGATGTCGTGGCTCTCCAAGTGTGTGGAGAGTGCAAGTGGCTAGGTGTCGCATCCTCCCATGTCAGATCTGATATAATCGAAGCGCAACTGCGAGTCGCGAGTTGAATGATCAGGCCGTCGAAAACCATGGCGCATCGCTACCAAATGAAGTGCTGAGCTCGCCATACGCCACGTTAAAAGAATCTGTCATATATGGCACTCGCAGAGCACTGAGTGCGAGAAGTGGGGTAGTATCATTCCACGTCTTTTGTTGAAGAGTATTCAAGACGTGGTGACGAAAGATCAGCACGTGTTATATGGTAGTGCGTAATATAATTATCCTTTTCACTGCACGGCAAACAAATGACCTTAACCAAAAAGACGATGTGGCGTCAATGACGCCATCTTCTACACATTATGGTCTTGGAAAATGACCCTCCACACTCAGCGAAACTTTTCCTATCAAAAGCTAGCGGTGCAGAGCGAATCGTGTCTGTTAACAATAATCCAAATGTAGCCAAAGTATAGCCTATTCGGATATGCTGTAGAACAGCACGATCAGCTGGACGTTTTCTTTTTCTAACCTAGATGATAGGCATCCCGATTGACTGCTGGGAGATAGTGGTATCCTTTTCACTGCAGTATTACTCCGTTGAAGTGGCTGATTATGCCACAGGCACTGGCAAAATTAATCAATCCCCCTCGAGCTAAATGTTTAATAGCGATGAGTCGTGATGGAAGTGGCGACTGTGAAGTATGCGAAAAGATTAAGGCGTTCCGCGATTCAGACTCTTCCAATTTTAGATCAACCACTGCACATTTCCAGCCTTTAAAATACACTGCGCTTTGTTAAAGCCAGATAACAATCAGCATTGACGTGTATCTAACTTTGTGTTTCGCTAGCTGCAACTCACAGATAGTAACAACTCTATCCGCGACAACACAATGCTTGCAATATAGTAAATCCCCATCAACTTCAGAGTGCAATTACTTGGTGTTCAGATTTTTGCGAGCTATGAAAGGGTAAGATATTGCTTAATCAAAGCGCGCGGTCGCAAGCCTACACCGTTTTGCCTAATCCAAGGCTTGCTGTGTTATATTACTGGACAACCAAATATTTAGTGCATAACTGTTCCT